CGCTGAGGCGTCTACTCAAGTCCCTTTTTTTTAGGGGTTAAAGTATTTTTGACTAATAACATCCTAATGACCGTTTGTGGTCGAAGCATCTAAAGAAGAAAGTGTTTGGGAAAATAGACACAATTGCGGTACAATTCGAAACGTAACGTAGTTAATAAAAGATCACATTGTACTAAACCTGTGTCTATTTTTCTATCGTGTGGGTATTTTATACTACATATGTCCAAAAATAGTGTTCTTTGTACTTAAAGGGAAGGACGAGTCGCTGTGACTCACTGAGCTTGTAGATTTTGACAGGATTTCCATCTTTCCCCGCGCATCTAGAGAGGAAATTATCGTTGAATTGCAAAGAGAACGAAAAGGGGCTTGTCAACAGTGAGCATGAGAGGATGTGTAGTTCTCATTAAATTTCTGGCAAGTTTTACCATGTTTATTGGGGGGGGGGCTTAATTTTACCTATAATCCAGTTGTGTAATCAGAAATTTTTATTACGCTTTGAGATGCTGTGTGATATTATACTCGTCAATTGGTTACTTACACCTGAACAGAGTCGGAGCTGACTCTCTACTGGAGTATACCTGAAGAGGGTTTCAGGGGTCAACGCCCCCGCATCCCAGTCTGAGACCAGGCCTTGTGGTGGGTCAGGGTTTGATCAACCAGGCTGTTACTGCTGGCCGTACGTAAATCTACGTAAGAACCACAGCCCACGAGTTTGTACATGTATTTGAAGAAATAAATATTATTATTATTATTATTATTATTATTATTATTATTATTATTATTATTATTATTATTATTATTATTATTGTTTGTTATTGTTGCTGTTGTTGCTGTTGTCACAGTATACATGCTGAGTGCTATGTTTGTCAGTGTATACATGCCGAGAATTTACCTTAATCTGTTTCAGGGATTAAAATAGTCTTGTATGGTAACGTACAGACAAATTGCAACGTTCATGACCCACACTGCCGATGGCCTTCAAAATCAATCGTCTCAATACTCCGATATTTTTTTTCCTTCGAGGAAGTAAAATAAACAGACCTATTCTTATGAGAATGACTTTAATGGATTTATCTCATAAAATTAATAATAATATTTATATAGGAGTAATGTTGACAACCCAAAAAAATTGGTCTGACGGTCAAAAAAAAAAAAAAAAAAAGAGGCGTTGAGAGTTTTTTTTTACCTGGATATTTAAGCTTCTGGTGGCGCTGGGTCCCCAAAAAGTTTAAAAAATTCCACCCTGATAATACAATTATTATACTACGACTACTAAACTCTAAATAAAAATAATCTACTCGGGAGAAATTTTAAAGCAGGTACCCCGGAAACCATACTGTTGGCTTTCAGTTTTTTTTTTTATATTGTTGTATAATAACGAGATATTTTTATTATTATTATTTTTATTATTTATTTTTAAATTATTATTATTATTAAAAATTTTTAAATAATTATATTTTTAATTTTTGAACTCTTTTAAGCATTTTTAAAAAACAAATTTTTCTTTTCTTTTCTCACAGGGGAAGATTTATTATGATGAGAAGCGAATGAAGACTCACCTTTTTTTTTTTCAAGGGTGATTTGCAGGGAATCCCCGTGATGCTCGTAAAGTGGTCTTGATCTAAGTGAAGGGTGAGGAGTTACCCCTTCATCAGGTCAGACCTGATTACTTCCCATTCCCTTACGGGTTTAGCTTTTTCCCATTAGCATATACAGTAACTGGTTGATTTCCGAACGATGGCCTTAATGAACTCTGAGTGATGTTCAGTATGAACCTAAATGCAACCCGGTAATGACTAATGGATTGGTGGTAATAAATGTTTTAGAGATTGTAACTCCATATTGTATTGTGTTCAATAGCTTTTATGGAGAAATTGCAGTATCTATAAAAATCGACTGTAATATTTTTTGTCGTGATGCAG